ATTGCAAATGTAAACGCAAATCTATATCTTAAATGCATAATAGTTAACCCAAACTCAAAAATTCATAGTCTTTTGTATCTTTTATCAAAAACGTTTTTGCTTCTTCTTCTCTTTTTAAGTTTGTATATGCGTTTCTGTGAGAACATTCKTCTTCTTCTTTTTTCACATATCTACCAGATCTAATCTCCGATCGGAAACAACAAGAATCAAAATTCAGATCCAATTTCACGATTGCCATATCTGTTTTTTGTGAAATAAATCTGGTCCATAGAAAAGAGACAACAAAATTTGATTCACAGATGACAAAATCTGGGTTAGAAAAATAAAAACAACGATGAAATCTGAATTAGATAGAGAGAAGAAGAAAAAAATATGAGAGAGAAGAAGAAGAAAATAGAACTGATTCAACAAAAAAAAATTTGTAACTAAGGATAATTTGAGAATATAAAAAAAAAATGACAGTCTTGTAAAAATTACAAAAAATTGTCATTTTTGTGGCATGAGAGATGTGACATTTTTTAAAAAATTTCAAAATAAAATACCACACAACTCATAAGAGCACATGTTAGTTCGCTCATTGGACCCACCTACACTACCAAACATGCAAATTGTTCTATATAAACCCTCTTCAAACGTCTCAATACATCACACAGTACACAACCACACATTGAACATAATCCTCCCACAAAAGACATTTTGTGACTAAAAAAAGCCACAAATATAAAAGATGAATTGTTTGAGATATATTGCTCTTTCACTTTCTCTCCTTCTATTGGGTTTGGTCGGACCGATCCAAGCTCAATTGCAAATGAACTTCTATGCCAATACTTGTCCTAACGCCGAAAAGATTGTTCAAGATTTTGTTTCAAATCACATTTCTAATGCTCCTTCTCTTGCTGCTGCTCTCTTGAGAATGCATTTCCATGACTGTTTTGTCCGCGTAAACTCTTCTTTACTCTCATTCTTTGCTTGTATTATGGAACATTCTGACTAGCGACATGATTAACAACGAATTTATATGTGTGTGTAGGGTTGTGATGGATCAGTGCTTATAAACTCGACGTCGGGAAACGCAGAGAGGGACTCAACTCCTAACCTAACGCTTCGAGGGTTTGGTTTCATCGACGCAATTAAAGCTGTGCTTGAAGCTCAATGTCCAGGAATCGTTTCTTGCGCTGATATTATCGCTCTAGCATCTCGAGACGCCATTGTTTTCACCGTAAGCATGATCATTTTCACATATGACATTATTTGCATATTAACAATTTTTAATATTTTTCATCATAAATTTGATATTTTTATATATGTTGTAGGGAGGACCAAATTGGAGTGTACCTACTGGAAGAAGAGACGGGAGGATATCGAACGCATCAGAGGCACTAGCTAACATTCCACCACCGACCAGTAACTTCACCAACCTTCAGACACTTTTTGCAAACCAAGGACTTAATGTTAAGGACCTTGTCTTACTCTCCGGTAAAGACTAAAACCATACCACACATTGCTAAGAATTACGTTTGGAATCATTAAAAAAAAAAAATAGGTTTGGAATGTTTCAAAAACAATTATTTTGTCTAGATGTTAAAAGTATATGTATATACAGATACAATCATAAGTTTTTCTTATGATTACGTTCGCATAGAAAATTTACATAAAAAACAAAATTAAATTTAGTGTTTTACTAGCGTTGTAACATTATATTTGAGATTTAAACGCAATAAAAACACTATTTAATTTAACCTAAGTTCCAAGATTCTAATGAAAAATTGTGTGTTGTGTAACACATTGGTGTATCTTGTTATAACAGGAGCTCACACAATTGGTGTATCTCACTGCTCGTCTTTCACAAACCGTCTCTACAATTTCACTGGTCGTGGAGGACAAGACCCGGCCTTAGACAGCGAATACGCAACCATTCTCAAGTCTAGAAAATGCCCTAGCCTCAACGACAACACGACCATCGTGGAGATGGATCCAGGGAGTCGTAAAACGTTTGATCTTAGCTATTACCAGCTCGTTCTCAAGCGTAGAGGTCTGTTTCAATCAGACTCTGCTCTAACCACTAACCCAACGTCGCTCTCAAACATAAACCAGATCTTGAAAGGTTCGTTGGGGAATTTCTTCTCTGAGTTTGCCAAGTCGATGGAGAAAATGGGTCGGATCAATGTCAAGACTGGATCAGCAGGAGTGGTTAGGAGGCAATGTTCAGTTGCAAATAGTTGAGGGGTGAAAATGTAAACAAT